ACCCAACAGCATAAAAAGGTTCACCCAGTTTATTATCAATTACATACATAGTGGATGGACCTATCAAGTTTCTCCCACGCAATACAAGAGAGGTCTCATGTCCAGCAACAACTGCCAGAGGTGACACAGAGATGAGTTCTGGTGTACACCAGGCTCTCCAGGTTTTGCAAAGACGAAGTTTTCCTGCAGATTATGTACATCAAAGGAAGATAAGAAAATCAAGAAGATTTAAGTACATTACATAAGACAAAATAACAATAAAATTATAAAAGCAGCAAGACATACCTTCTTTATGTACAACCATTTGTCTGTCTGTATAAGCCAAAAATCTCCCATTTCCCCAAAAGTCGACATCAATACTTCTGACTAAACATTTCACATAGTTAAGGAGGTTTCCTTCAAACTGCAAATGCAAAAGGCAGAACGGAAATTAGTCAACCGACGCCGTTATAACAAAGTAAAATTATATATTTCATAGAAGTGCACTCACTTTATCCCAGGCAGAAGATGGCATTGACAAATACAGAGAAAGAACAATGCAGCCAGGCCTAATGTAGCTTTCCATTTCTGACGGACTGTTAGAGAGCCAGTTGTATAACTGGAAATTCAAAGGCAGTAGGATCAAGCTGTAGATGTTAGCCAAGCAAATTGATTGAGAAAGTGAATTCAAAGAAAAGCAGTCACCTGAGTTCTTAGTGATCCGGGAAAATGGCTTGGATCCTTGTCAAACAGTTTGAAAATTATTCTTCCAGTACGATCCTAGAGAGAGAGAAACTATTAAAACTAGATATGAAAACCAGGATAGACTTTGATTTTATCATGATGATGACTACAAGGGATATTTAAAAAAAGTATCCTTACGTGTGAAGATACTATGACAAAAAGAAAGGAAAAGGAGAAACAGGGAAATTCCGAAATTTAAATAAAAATTCTTAGTGGCTTGAAATACTTCGTGGCTTTAATTATGGAGGGGAGAAGTATAAGAGGGAACCAAACTTCAGTTTTTCTCCTTCTCTTAAAAATTTTAAAACTTCTGAGCGTTCCATTATCCATAACATCCTAAATCCAAGGGGTAATTCTTGCAATTATTTTTTGGTAACAAAAATATTACCTGAGAATCGGAATTAAGGCTAGACGGAGAATGATCGGACCCTGAAGATGTATAACAAGCTTGATATGGAGAACTCTGATTCGAACCATTCTCGGTAGGTACAATAGAACTTCCAAAAAGCTGAAGAGATGTACCACAGTTACTTGTGGTCGATTTCGCATGCGCAGTTTCCCCTTCACATTTTGACAAAGGAGTATTATCCTTCACTGTTTCGCTCGAATTCCACATTGGGAACAGATCATGCACGACAGGTGGCGATGACATAGGCGAAACCTCCACCGAAGGGTTACTGCTTCCGGATGAGATAACATTTCCATCCGAAGGCAATTTCATTGACCGATAATCTTCAGGATAGGGACAAAACAGCTGCAAATGCAAACTGGGAGAGGCTTCGCCAGCACGGAAGTCAATTTCTTGGTCAACACAATGTGATTTTGTTTTTTCCGAGTTGCTGTCTTCGGTGCTTGGCCGAGGGAGAATTTCGTGAGAGGAAGTTTTTGAAAGGATTGCGAGCAAGTCCATGGTTCCGTTATTTTGTTTACGGGTTTCGGAGGATTTAAGATTAGGAACAGTTGCATTCAGCTTGGCAGCCAAGTCCTCGGGCAAGGGAAGTGAGTTTATTTTACTGAGTATATTAATGAGCTGGTCTTTCGAAGGTATTGACGAGGATTTACCATTTGCTTCCTCCGTGTTCCCTGTGAACAGGAAAAGGAATAAAGAGTTTTTTATTTATTTATACACAAATTTTCATCTTCATACTCATTATAATTTTCTTGAACTCGATACAATTTTGTATAAGCAGATAATTTTGACTATTTTTCCTAGTAGGTCATACCTTGTGCGCAAGAGAGCACTGTCAATAAATTGATGATGTCATTATTAGTGACATTGTTGTCACAGCTGCTGGGGACTAACAACCTTGGATTATTTTCCTCTGGCTGAGTTTTTCTCCTCCTCCGGTTATGGCCAGCAAGTCGGCGCCTGCAACTTCTCTTGCCCTCATCAAATTCTGAAAGGAGGTGGAACCTGGCAAAATTAAATGAAATCAAGATAGGAAATTGAGTTTACTTGCACATGTGTTCACAAATATCTCCAAAGCTTTTCCTATCATTTTTCTGATTTTCTTCTGTACCTATGTGTATATATGTAGAATAATAAAAAAAATTATTGCTTGTTTACTTTTTTCACCCACTATAAAACATCAATCATTATTTTTAGAAAGGTAAAATCCAGGAGAATTTTCCCATTATGCCCTTTAAGATTGATAATTATTACATCGTTATGTTTATACTTTTGCTAATAACCATGCAAATTAAGTAAGGACATAAGAAGGAGATTAGTAGCTTAACTATTCTATTTCAATGAAATAACAGTTTGTGGGACATAAGTAGTAACCAGATATTTCTTTGAAGGAAAAGGGAATACTAGATCATTTTAATAGCAAATGAAAATGGTT